GAAACGTCAGCTCAACTCATATCATTGTGGGAAAATTTCTTCTTCTACCAGTCCTTCATCACCTTAAACGAAATTTGGTGAATACATCTCATATTACTGTTTTACTGGTAGTCACGAAAAACAATACTTAATTATATTCTCAATTTTATGTATTTATGAATACGTCTCATATTAACTTATTATCATTGAATATCTTTGTTCTTTAGTAGAAACTATTATCAGAAAAAGCCCATTTTTATGACTTTATGAAATAAATCTGATTAAATTTCTAGTATGAGGTAATGTTTCTTATCATAAATCAGATATTAATCTTTAAAATGTTAAGTCTATCATTATTTAACAGAATTATAATCATAAATTTAAATTTTTCTAATAGAAATGATTGCTTTGAATATTTATGCTATTTGGACTTATGAATTCATAATCAGGCAAGGCCTTATTGTGGACGTTGTATGATTGGATATTTTCATATGTCCGTCGTGAACATTAGCCTATGAAGTGGAAACAGCTATTGGCAAGAGGACGGCAAGAGCTTAAACACCCTTGATCGCTAATACTGTTGGAATGGCTACTATGATAAGTGCCAGCAAATAAAGTAGTGTGCGAGAGGATATTAATGAACGTCACTTAGCCGAATTCTCATAAGACGTTCTTACAAAATACGACCTGTGAATTCGGGCTCGCCTCTTAATCATGATTTACCAAAGGTTGTGGCACTTACTCCAACAAAAGATAACAATTGAAATGGGTATTTAGTTTAAAAAAGCGGTCCTTTGTTTAGCCTAATCGGCGTTGCCCTGAACACCATTGAAACTTGTGGCTTGATAATGTGCTGAAATAAAGCCCTTAATTAAATATTTTTTATTCTACCCTCACATGCTCATGATAGACGAGAAATTTTTTATGGTCCTATGTCTGTCCCAGCTAAGTTTAGGGTGAGTTATTTACAGTCTCTAGGCTGGAACAATGAGTCTACTGGTTCTGGTTGCTGCATTATTCATTATGTATTTACATTTATCATCATAATATATTTCAAAGCTTAGCATAAAAGCTGGTATTCACGATACCGTTTTCGCATTACTGTTTAATGTACAGGATTAACCAGTATTATTCCTCAAAATTGTAAGGCTTAGTGGTTATGTATTTCCCATGAGGGCGTACTACTTCGTAAGAATCAAATATTTACCCTGATCATTGCTAGCAATATTGAAAGCTGGGTTTAATTAAACTCTAGGTGGGAGCATTTGACCCATTTATGAAGCCAGCGTTGTAGCTTTGCACTTTTTCGCATGCAGAAAAAATAAAGCATATAGATTTAACTATTTCTGATAAGAGAAGTTAAATGATTTCTTTGGTAAAATCAACAATATATTTTCCCCAATTCCACTCGCGTACGGAACAATGAAAAGAAGCATTTTAGCCAGCTACTAGTAAATAGAAAATGTGCAAGAGTACAATGAATATATACATACAACCGCATAAGATCCGTGAAAATTAAAATAGATAGTATGCATCAATTCAAAAATGCAATGGATTTGTTTTGATTGAAAAATAAGTAATGGCTTCATTATATATATATATATATATAATTTTGTGTGGACTTCCTTACGTTGTAAATTATTCTAATTTTATTACTTAACCTCTTCAAAATAATTCACCTGGCATTGCAGATAAGATCTTCTTTATCGGTTTCATCGTCCACACTTTTAGCCATACGACGCAGCATCATTGCGGCCATAAGGGCAGAAGGGATAGATTCCTTCTCCAAGGACCAAAGATATTTTGCCATTTCAAATCGCCCGTTTAAAAGAGCCCAAACAAAAAGTTCACGAATAGGTCGCTCAAATGTATCTGGCGCACCTGTAGCGGAGGCTTTGGCTGAATATCAATTTCAAAAAAGACTAAGTGAATAAATATCATTATAATTTGAATTCATCTAGAAAAATTATACATTTAGTTACTATGACTTCCAAAATTAAGTGGCATCTATTTTTAATGTCTTTTTTCCACGATATAGAATTTAACTGACTTCTTTGTCTCGGATTTATTTTGGTTTAAGGGAATCTCTTGCCTGCGTTTGGGTCTCGCTTACAGCATATGCAAGTTACGAATACGAAGCTTGAATAATTCTAAACAAGGAAGATTCTGACAGACAAATACGACAATCGTCTGAGAATGTACTAAGTCGATGGTTCGATACTGGAAATTAAAAAGACTAGAGAAGCAAACGACGACGATAAAATTTCGTTCATCTTGGTCTTCCTAGATCCACGAAAATCTTGAGGAAATAAGATCGGACCAAGTAATATTTTAGTCAATCTACTAACAATCCTGTTTCTGTGCTTAATTATTCAGAAATTTGCGCTATGTATATAGAATATAATTTAAAATTCTAGGTTATTTTTTCAAGATTTAATGTATTTTTTGCATTTATCTTCC